GCCTCGACCTGTTCAGCGCACCGAGTTTCTTTGAGGCCAATTTGACCTTACCCTCTAAATGACTTTGAAAATGAACTTCACTGGATATATCGATGCCTAGGATGCCGATACTGGCTGAGGCAGTGGGTCTTTTTTGCTTAAAGAGGACTAGATTTAGTCGATCCCAATACGAAAACTTCCAATAAGGAAGTTTCAGTTTCAAACACAAGTTTGTTTTGACTCTCGATGACGTTTCCCGAGAAACATTGGAGCGGCCGGTGTAAAAGGCATCTTCCGTATTATCATCCGCATAGTAATGCATGCTACTAGTTGCTGTCATTGATATGCAGAAGGAACAGTGTGGATGATAGCACACAGCCTTGCGGGACACCAATAAAATTTCAAAAAAAATACTGATTTTATTACGATCACATTATAGTGAATTGTAATCACATCATCACATCAACAGCCTGTAATAGTCCACTGCTGGACATAGGCCTCTCCTTAGAAAGAAGGATTTGGCCTACTATACCACGCTAGCCAGACAGTTTGGTATAGGGTTTGTGTCAGATTTTCCTTCTTTTTACAGTGCTGGTGTCCTGTGCTGTTTTGCACCCTTAGTCGGCTCTTACGACACCCACGGGATCAATTAGGGTAGTGACATTCCGTATTCTTAATACGTCACTACTAATTACACACTCATTATGTACCTGTATTCTCATTCCTTAATATTTTCGTTAGGGATGATATTTTTTCTGCAAATTTGAATGGGACCAAACAGGAAGTACCAGATAGAAAAAATATTAGTAATTCAACTTTTCTAAGATAACAAAGCGAAAAATATGATCAGAAGATTCTCATAACACCACATGAGAACCTCCTGCTTATTACAAATAAATTACGGTTGGACGGATCACCTACGGACCACCAGACGAACTCTAGTATTGAAACTTCTGGACCAAGAAGTTGCGTATAAATTGATTTATTTGATAAACAAATTGCAGTTATTTTTTGCGCTAAACTAAATTAGAATGTACTATTTTTGTCTTGTCATACCTCTAAATGACATGAAATGACCTTCAAACGCACTGTTTAGTTTTATAGCAAGCCTTGTATTACCTAAGACCGTATTTAGGGTTCCCGCCTGGTCTGGCCAGCGTGGTATAGTAGGCCAAAACCTCCTTTCTAAGGAGAGGCATATGTCCAGCAGTGGACTACTAAAGGCTGTTGATGTGATGTGTATTTAGGGTTTCGTTCCTCATCACTTCGTTTTCCGCCTGCCTGTCTGCATGCATTACGTGGAAGTTGTATTCAACATAATGTAACGTAGTTGTAATCGACTCGTACGTTATAAAACGATCCGAGAATCAACTCCTGCAAAAAGTTTGTGCGGAACCCTTGGTACTCGAGTCAGACTCGATCTTATTTATTTATAATATTATGTTTGAGTTCTTATTTAAGCGTAACAGTTGGTTGCGTCACTTTTGTCAAATTGTGTTCTTTCTTAGTGCAGTTTAATTATCAACTAGCTGTGCTCTCGCGTATTGGAATTGCATTGATAAGATATATATAGATATATATAGGAATATATAGGATATATATAGGAAAACAACTATTTCTTAGTGTTCCATGGATTCACCGTGCGGGTGGCGGGTCCATCGCGTGAAACATGGGGGCAACACATGCGACTTCGACAGCGCCTGGGACTTGCGGAAGGAATAGGTTTAGGGAGTACTGCTTGCGATGCGTCAGCACTCACGTCCACTGTCTGCTGTGTTACTCCCTCTACCTAACCATATTTGATACGACGCAACAAAATAACTATTTTTAGTTATTTCGTTGGGTAAGTCAAAGTACTTGTTTGAAACGGTTTGTATATCGTGTCAAAATTTTAACTCAATCGGTGCAGAACTTTATGGGTTTTTGAGGAGTACTGGAGCCTACTTAACATTTTTATATGTGGTTTTATTGTTTTTTTTTAATAACCTGACACATCTTACTGTCTGACCGCAACCAGACTGCTGATAATCTTATATATAAAATTCTCGTGTCACAATGTTCGTACCCGTACTCCTCCGAAACGGCTTGACCGATTCTCATGAAATTTTGTGTGCACATCGGGTAGGTCTGAGAATCGGCCAACATCTATTTTTCATACCCCTAAATGGTAAGGGTGACCCATCCCTCATTTTTTTTTGTTTTGCAATACAACGTTTGCCGGGTCAGCTAGTCTTATATATAAAATTCTCGTGTCACAATGTTAGTTACCATACTCCTCCGAAACGGCTGTACCGATTTTTATGAAATTTTGTGTGCGTATCTGGTAGGTCTGATAATCGGCCAACATCAATTTTTCATATCCCTAAATAATAAAAAATATTTTTTTCTTTTCTATTTTATTGACAAAAAAATATTTTTGTATTTTATTATGATTTAGCATTGAAAAATACATACAACAATAATGTATATGGCAAAACAACGTATGAAGGGTCAGTTAGTTATAATTTTATATATATCGAAATAAATACGTATTATAATTTCAGGTCATACAAACATTTGGTCCGACCCGGGAATCGAACAAGAGCAATTAGCAGAGCAATGGCATACGCTATATATGTGTACACACGACAAACGAAATAGGAGTAATTGATGGAATATTATTTATTCTGGAAACGTCTAGGTGACAAATCAAATCATTGAAACTATCCTGAAAATTAATAAATTACTAAAACCATAGAAACAACATTTGAAGAGTTTTTTTTTTTCAACTTAAATGAACTATTTTTAGGCCACTTCTAAATTTTGGCCACACATTTCAGTAAAATCCTATATTTGAAATAGCAACATTTATCATGAAAACAGTATGAACGGCCGTTTATCGTCTTTCTAAGGAGAGGCCTATGTCCAGCAGTGGACTGTTAAAGGCTGTTGATGATGATGATGTTTATCGTCTTGTCAATATCGGTGAGCAATATTAATTATTACTGTAACAGTGGGTACTATCATTGTGGTTTCAAATACCTACAATATCTTTGGATAGTACAAAACAAAGATACTCTACGCTTATGTTTACGGATTTTAACATTCAGTTAGATTTTTTTTTCAAGAAAAGTTTATGTATACGGGTAGCGTAGTGGTTTAGGCGGTCCTCCCGCCGCTTCCTACTGCGTTGAGTGTTGTAGCTTCGATCCCCACATGGAATAACACTTTGTGTGATCCACAAATTGTTGTTCTGAGTCTGAGTTTTGTTTGTGTCTGTTTCATTTATGTCTGTAAAGTCTCCCGCGACACAGAATATATTCCTAGAGTTGTGTTAAAAATATATATATACATATATATATACTATATTCCTATAAAAATAAATAAATATTTCGACAACTGACACACAGCGCCATCTAGTTTCAAACTAAGCTGTGAAAGTTAGATTGACTGATAGAATACTTATATACAGGGTATAAGGGACATCGTAACGAATACTGAAATAGTAAATTCAGACCATGATTCTGGATAGAATATCATTGGAATTTTCTGCCAAATTGCAAAACATTTTTCTAAAAAGACGAAGTAAGCGGTTCAAAGTAGCATTTTTACGTGTGGTAACGTCACCCTACAGGGGTTAGTGGCTGGACACTGTTCCGGTCTGGTTAACACTGTTATTAAGACATCTGGACCCTGCTTCTAAATAACCTAGGAAAAATATGTATGTAGAAGATTTGGGAAAGGTCTTTTCCCAACAGTAAGACAATAGAAAATCTACCATAGATTAGTTACTAGGCACAAGTTTTACCCAAGGCCGATTTTAAAACGGACAATTTAATAGTTGGCAATAAGTAATACTATACACCTCAGCTAACTCATAAGTACGATGAAAACGACATCTACCCATACAAAGATAAATGCAGTATTTTCATTTCTATCACGAGCACAGAAAACTGTACGTAGAACTGTGCCAATCTTTTCCAATTAACATTAAGGATGTAAAAGAAAAATCTGTATTGACATCACAGACTTGGAGAATAATGCAACAAATTGGTACGTAGGTACGTAATATTTGATAATTATAACTTAGTGCGATCATCGGCTGCCAATCGCAGTGATTATGGCAAAGTCCCAAGAGACAATCGCAAAAACAAGACACAAAAAAATCTGACAAACATCTGGTTAATAAAAAAGAAACATTATTAATACTTTACTTATCTACCGACCTCGTTTGAGAGAAAGAAAAAAGAGATAAGTCAATAAAAATTAAACTAGTCAAATAAATCAAAATATAAAAGAGTAATTAATTATCATAATCATCATTATAAGTTCATTCACATTTAAAATATTTTTTTTATTAATTAATAGATATTGATAATTAATAATTGTATTAATAATATTAATTAATATTCCCATTAGCCAAATAATGCCAAGATTAAATTCACCATAGGAATTTAAGACTTCAAATAATCGAAATTGAATTGAATTTTAAATGTCATCTTGATAAATTATCTATATTCGTATTAGGAATTACAGAAATAGCAACAGGATAACTCAACAAGTCAAGTGAAAAAGCAAATAAAAAAGGTAAGCATCCATTATTGGATTAGTCCCAAGTGACACAGACTCATAATTATGGCGTAATAGTGTCCCATAGAAGAACATTCCAGGTGTTGAAACATTTAATTCTGGAATTTATTTAAACGATAAAAACCAAATTATGAACTTTTTCATTTTTTTACATTTAAGTCTAATTAAAAGAGCAACAGGGTGGGGTACGTATGACGTCACTCAATCTCTTTTACGAGGCCGTTTTCGAGAGTCCTTCATTTTATGCCAACGTTAACCTTTAAGCATACATTAAAAAGATAATTATAAATTTAGTACTTGGATAAATATTAATACCTAAATTGAATAACTCAGCGACAAATTGTCGGATGTCATACTTCGACGTAAAAAAAATTGGCTGCCTCCTCTGCTCTAAAAAACCATTTGCAAATTTAAAAATAAAATATTTTCTATAATTTTTTAAAACAACTCACCTCCTTGTTCTTCCATAACTATTAACTAAAAAGAACTTACACTAAAAAGTTTCTAAAACTAATATCACACTTAAAAAATATAATCACTAAAATTGATCACCACTAAATGTTTTTTTTTTTATTTATTTAAGTCACTGTTCGAAATTTAAACACTAGCGATTATTTATCCCATTTGTTAAATGGACTTATTTTTTTTAATTGTTTAGAGTACGTATTTTAATTTGACTCGTGAACGGGAGTTCGGAGGCATTGGTTGGGCGGCGACTGAACTGTGTCGCGGTCTGGGCGGGACTGGACTCAGTGGACTCGCACTTCGCAGTGCTCCGTGTTCAGTACTGTATAGCGCTGAAATATATTGTTCTACAACTTAGCTCGTCACTATGTAGCAGCGAGGGTACATGTCTTCGCAGCATGGACAACACAGTAAGACGCAAAATACGAAAATTTTACAAAATGCGGAATGTTGATAAAATTTTGGTAGGGCTTTAATTTCATAATTAGACGATTAATTTACGTAAAAAAATAGTACTTTGAAAAACTTTTTATTTATTTTAAAAAGAATTTAATTAAAAAAATTGAAATTGAAAAACTGAATTGAAATATAACATATTCAACAGAAGCCCTCGCTGTGCTTTTGATTACGTCACAAACCGTTTAACTGTTCTTATAGTAGTAAAACAGTACAAAATGAAAATGGTGACAGCAACTGACAACTGACAGGAGATTGCATATAGTTAATTATTTGTTTTTTTAACGAATTTTATATATTTTTAAATTCATACAGTTGAAGGCTTGGACAATATAATTAAGTATATCTAAATCAGACTGTCAACGCCGTGAACGCCGAAATACAGTCCAACTATTGGTCACTGAGTTTGTCGCTACTGAGTTCTTTCGATTGTCGCTGTGTGTGCGTCAGCTGAGTTATCGCAATAACTTATAGCTAGTGTAAAACTTAGAAAAAAAAACACAAATATAATTGGCCCGTTTGAGTTAGTCCCATCTAGATGTCATCATCATCATCATCATCAGCCTATCGCAGTCCAATGTTAGACATGGGCATCTCCCATTGCACACCACTAAGATCGATTTTGGGCTAGATTTGAAAATGTTATAAATTTAAGACTGCCTCAGTGACGCAGTGGTAGTTTACGCGACTGCTGTGTTGAGGTCTTGAATTCGATTACCGGGTCGGACCAAATGTTTGTACGATCTACAAATACATATTTGTTTCGGAGTTTTGGTGTTTTCTATGTATACTTGTAATATGTATGTTTAAAAAAATATATTTAAGTATTCTATCAGTCAATCTAGCTTTCATAGTACAAGCTCTGCTTAGTTTGAAACTAGATGTCCGAAATATTATTAAAATATTATTATGTTAAGATTTCGAAATACAGTATAACAAACATTTTTGATAACCATTAAATTCTCTTTTACAAGACTTTTTGATGAAGATGGGTCACCTGATTTTAAATGATTATCACCACCCATGGACACTTGCAACTGAACACATACCACCGTTTGGGGAGAGGGGGCAGCTGATCCACTCACTCGGTCAAAAGCAACGAAGGATTACCTAACATCGGTTGCCTGGCCCTGGTATCACATCAGTCTAGGCTGCCCAAATGTGACGAAGCATGGCTCTCCCACGTGCTTACTCTGGCGCAGTCTGAACTTTAAACGTCAGGAAATCTAGCCACTGTTTTAAGTCTTTAAAAAATAAACTAGATTTATATATTCAGTTTATATTATGTTATGGTGTCCTCATTCCATTTATCTTTAAGTAAATATATTTGATGTAAGACTAGCTGCGCCTCGCGGTGTTCCCCGCGGTTTGTCAAATACACTGAAATATGTTTAGGTATAGCTGCAGAGCTATATATGGATGGTGTAGTGGTTTAAGCGGTCGCCACGCCGCTTCCTACTGCGCCGAGTGTTGTGGGTTCAAACCCTACATGGGACGACACTTTGTGTGATCCACAAATTGTTTGTCCACAAATTGGGTGTTCTTTGTGTCCGTTTTATGTATGTTTGTAAAGTAAAGAGTTGTCTTTTTTAAAAAAAAAAGAGAGAAAAAATTCTTTGCTCATCCCATGGTAACATTAACTTAATCGGGATAAAAGGAAACCCATATATCAATTCAGGGTGTCAGCTACCTCTATACCAAATTTTGTCAATATTGGTAAAGCCGTTCAAGCGTGAAGGTGAACAAACATACAAACCGACTCACAAACGCGCCTTTATAATATTACATCACACATCAACAGCGTTTACTAGTCCACTGCTAGACATAGGGCTCTCCATAGAGGTTTTATCCTACTATACCACGCTGGCCAGACGGGTTGGTATAGTGTTTGTGTCAAGTTTTCCTTCTCTTTGCAATGCTGTTGTCTTGCGTAGTTAGTTCCCTTAGTTGGGTCTTACGACACCCACTTAATGAATATTGGTTGTGACATTCCGTATTCTTAATCCGTCACCACACGCTATAATATTATTGTGATTGTTATTAAATTATTATTGAATAGTTAAACTTTAACATGTATTAAAACATGGCACTAAACCAAAACAGTTGTCGTCACGACATGAAGTAGTTAAGTCATTAATATAAGTATACCATTCCTAGAAATAATGACTCAATACTTACAGAATTATTTGTACTAAATCTTTATATGATAAATATTGCAAAACAATGGCACACAATCCAGTGCTGATCGGAGATTTCCTGAATATACCTGTTCTGTAAATCATTTTAATCTGTTGTCTTAAAATCAACATTTTTTTACCCATTTCAAAGAACCTCTAAGTGTATGTATTTTTTTAAGTATGTTCACCGGTAATTCTGATATTAGTTTAAAGCCAATCAGATACCCATTGGTATTGGTTGTAGTCTTCGGTTTCCGCATTCAGCTCGTACCAAATACCTATTTGTCTTGACATCGAAAGGTGCTACGCCTTTTTAATACTTTTTTGTTTAAAAGGACAACTCCCGCACTATAAATATATCCTGTGTCGCGGGGGACTTTACAAATATACATGAAACGAAAACAAACAACGATAGACCTTTAAAGATTAACTGCTAGTGAAGGACCTGTTGCTTTTTATGAAGTCCAACAGAGTCTTTTTTCTAGATAATGTTCCATCATTTAGTTATATTGACTTAAGGAGTTGAAAAGGCTTTCTAATTCATCTTCTTGGGCTCTTGATCAGAAGATTTTAATGTGAAACATCCTTCGTCTCGAATTCCTGCAATTTGTAGGATTTTATTTGGAAGTTAATGAGCGCGCGTGTTGCTGGAGTTGGCCGTTTACCAAAGTGAAATGTAGGATGCTGTATATCATAAGCCACTAGTGTTAGACTCTCTGTTCTTATTTTAATTTTGGTCAGTTTCAATTTTTTTTACCTTGACAATGCTATCGACATCCACTAGGGGCAATATTTGACCAGATATCATGCTATCTAGCGGAACAGCTCTTCGTTTATTCTCTAATTTAGACACATCGACATCCGCATACCAAGGGGGCAAATAGAAAAGCTAATCAAAATCTTGTAGATGGAAAATTGAACTGACAGATGGACTTGTGAGCATCTATACGTTCAGGAAGATACAGTTTATGAACGAAGCTGATATTGTTATAGAAGTTTCTTAATATTGCTTTCTGATAGAGTAGCCTGACCAGCGTGGTATAGTAGGCCAAAACCTCCTTTCTAAGGAGAGGCCTATTTCTAGCAATGAACTGTTATAGGCTGTTGATGATTATGATAGAGTAGTATATAATTATGTAGATATGAAGTAAACCCCCCTTGATAGGGCCTGGCTAGGCGCGGCGTCGATACGGGTGGGACCTAAAATAACAAGGTCCGGGTCCTCCTCAGAGCAGAGCAGGCTGTGGGATAGTTTTTAGTGGAAACACCACATACTCCTGGCTCCTATGTCTCCATGGAGCCGAAGATCCGAAGGAATATTCCACCAGGTCAACAAAAAAAAAGTATGAAGTACTATAAATTGCCGTCGCGTTGATTCGTAGACATAATTATATATTAGGGAACTCTATAGTTTAATATTTGCAAAGTTACAGATTACACCGACAGCAAAAAAAATTGGAAAAATGTCAGGAAAATGAGAAGGTGGTGTAGTGTATGTCATCATCATCATCAACAGCCTTTAATAGTCCACTGCTGGACATAGGCCTCTTCTTAGAAAGGAGGTTTTGGTCTACTACACCACGCTGGCCAGACGGTTTGGTATAGGGTTAGTGCCAAGTTTTCCTTCTCTCTGCAGTGGTGTTGTCCTGCGTAGTTTGCTCCCTTAGTCGGCTCTTACGAAACCCACGGGATGAATTGGGGTGGTGACACTCCGTATTCTTAATCCGCCACCACACGGATACGTGTATGTAAGTTCCTTAATATTATTGAGTATACTCCTATACAACAATTTCTCAACTGTCTCAAGTTATTGCTTATGTTTCGCTTTGGAATTGTTATATACACTATGTATTTCTTTAAGTTTTATGACATTATAATTGTGGAAGCTAACGAGAACAGTTTTTTTTATTTCATTTAGCCCCCATACATCTCAGTGGTTAGTTAAAAGTTTTTTGATATTTAAAAAGAATATCTATTTTATATAAAATGTTAGGTAAGCTTGTGTACGCTTCAAAACCTCAAAAAGTTCTGTACCGATTGTATATTCTGCACCATATGCAAACCGTTTCAAGGATCGTTTTGATCTGTTTTTGGCATCATTTTTTTCCCTATTCTTTCATCAATGCAATTTCAATTTGCCGAAGCTAGTTGTATATATAAATTGTTATTGTATTAACACTAAACAGGAATCGAACTCGTAACCACCGACAGTAGAGAAAGATGCTCTACCGTCGTTTATTTAGATATTGTATCACTATCCAGGAGTTTAGATCTGTACATAACGTTAATGTTTACACAGCAACAACAATTACTAACATTTGACCTTCAATAAAATATATTTATTCTATTAACTTACCTTTCTCTTCCACA